AAAATAAAGTGGAAAAAATATCCAATTTTATTTTCTACAAAATGAAAATAGATCCAACATTACTTATTCTTAAAAGAAACAAAGAAGCCGATGCAAAGCAACACCAGCCAGAACAGTATATAAAAGGTGAATATGGTGTTGACTGTTTTATCATTTGGTTCCCGAACCAGCATAATAGCAACTATATAGTTAGCTGCCATGAAAAGAACAGCGAACATGGACAAGACCAAGATTATTATCACAAACCTCTTATTATACTTTGGTCGCATCACCAGCAAAAGAATTACACCGAGAGACGAAGAGAATGATGCCGTACTGCTAATGATTAACGCCACATACATGTTCCGATTAGTATATGCAATGATTGAACTCCCAACTTTACACGAGTCAACCGGACACCCGTCTTCCTGCACGGTGGTTGTCGACCACGTACCGCCTGGTGGGTTTACTGCAACTTGGAAGCTCATGGTGGCGATCACCGTTGCCACAACCATTAAGCTCCCACGTGTCTTATCTAGTAAGTCACCCCTTAGAGAGAACCAGTCTTCCACCATTAATGCGTGCGCCTCTGAGGTTCGAGTGTATGTAGTTGTTCCTCCTGTCTCCATGGTGATTAATGTATCTATGCACGCTGTAATGAGGAGCTTAAGAGTGTGTATGTATATGTATATGTATATATAGACATATAGGTACCTAGTTGCCCATTTTTATATATTTGTGATGGCTATTGATCATAATTTTTATAATTGCCAAAGAAAATGGAAGCTTCACATTAGCGACGCTTGTTTGACTAATAATTTGTGATTATGTAACAGGATGATGATGGTCGTGATTTAAAAATAAAACATTTAACAATCTTGATGTAAATCTCTCAGCCAAACAGTTTCAATTTGGGTCAACTTGATTATTTGGGTTTAGTCTTGAGTCATTCAAATTATAAAATATGCATGTGTGGATATACAAGTTTAATACAACCTGTAATTATATTGGATTAAATCTCTTTGGTCTTTTGTTTTGTTTATTATAGTTGTGATTAACAAGGTAATCAAGGACTGGCACAAGTATTTTCTTTTCCACTAAATTTTGTTGCAGATTCAATCATTTGTGGCTTCCTATAAATTACAATGCCTTCGTCGTCTGTTTTTCCAGCCTATGATATTTTTCTGAAAGCTCTAGCCAATGACATTTCTGAAAGCTCTATTGCATGTATATATATATATATATATAACCGTGCCGTATGCATAATTAAGAATCATTGAATAAAAAATGGAAACATTTGAATGTTTGCAACTTCAAAAAACTCAAAGGTTGCAAATTGTGACCACTGTCGTCACCACCACCAAATTTCCTCGTGTTTTCCAGGCAATTGCTCTGGTAGCTTGTCCACTTACAGTTGTTAATTGTTATAATGCGATGTGCCGCTTTCATGGCGGATGCGCTCTTCTTCGATCAAGACTTCAAAAACATCCCTTCTAGTCTCATTCCTCGACTGGAGTCAACACCACAAAAACATAAAAATCAAAATGCACAAATATTTGAACTTCATCATGGATCACTATACCAAACTTCTTCTTTACAATATAACCTCTATGAGCCTAGCGAATAAGGCTGCACCTGTAAATAATTTAACTAAGAGGATGGAGAATTACATGGCCCTAATACTCCTTCCCCGAGACATTATAGAAACTAGAATCATAGATAAATCTAAACCACCAACCACCACAATTACTTATTCCCAATCCTAGGATTGTATGCAAATTATAAGTACAAAGTGAGGTAGCACAATTGACATATACACGCACAAGTATTGCAGAATATCCATCTTGGAGGGGCAAAGATTGGAGATGGATTGCAACAAATGATGCTAACATTCATCCTCTTGTTCTCATTCTGAGCGCTGTAATAAGAATATAAAACCTGAGTTTTCGCGGATCAATGGCGGAGGATCGATATCAATTACCTCCAGTGGTTCCATTGACTTGGAGACATCATCCAATGAAAACGGAATGCTGTGCCAAAAAGTACATTCTTGAATTATCGCCACAGATAAAACTTGCTAAAACATTTATTGCCATCACATTGTCTAAACCATACCTTGAATCATCATCCAACAAAAATGAAGTGCTTACTGCATTGTTTGTATTTTCTGTCATCATAACTCTCATAGCTGAAATCACCTGCATTAGATGTGGCCTTCTGAGAAACATTATGACATAGATGCACTTGTGGCTGAAAGTGATATATGCCCAAGTAGCATCTTTTTTTTTTTTGATTTAAATTTCCTCAACATGGATCAAATCAAAACCAAGTTAGGCAATGGACACCATTAGGTGCTAGAAAGTTGTTTGGAGCTGCTTTTTGTGCCACTTATAAACATCTAAACATAATTACCTATTTGGTGAAGTAAATCCAAACATAATCTACCTATTCTGTAAAGTAAAAATACACAAATAAATAAATAATTATGCACATCCACTCTTGGGTTCTTTCTATATCAGCTTAAAGTGTTTATGTTCTGAACATAAGTTACCTATGCATCCCCATAATCTATATACACACACATATTACAAATAGAAAAATTATTTATTTTTACAGTAAGCACTTTTATCTGAACATGTAACTAATTATTTTCTAAATAATTGCCATGGTAGCTGCCTTAAACACTTTTCCTCGGCAAATCCAAAAAGGCATTAAAAGTAAAAAAGGCAGGCCTGAGCTATGTCTGAGGAGTGAAACCAGGGTATTCAGTCTATTCAGTCTTTTTCGGGGCATCTAATACCACTACAACAATCTAAAATCAAGTGCACTACCTGAAGGACCAACTAATAATACTCAAGCAACAAAGCAACCTCTCTGGCAACATGCTATTGGCACAAGAATCCAATACATCAGAAGCTAATAACATCTAGCAGCTTGTTCCTCCGCCACTGACTAAGAAATAGATGGTTTCAGATGGGTTTACAAAATCAAACAGAAAGCTGTGATCGCTTGAACATTGCAAAAGCCTGTTTGGTTGCCAATGACACCACAACAACCAGATATCAATTTTGACTGAGACCTTCAGTCTGGTCATAAAGCCAGCTACTTTTCAATTGCTATTCCCTTCGTGTGCCAAATTGATGGTCCATACATCAGCTTGACGAGAAAAATGTGTTTTTTTTCCAGGATCTTGAAAGATGTGTGCATGAAGTGTTTCGAAGACAATGCGCATTCAAAGTATGTTTCCAAACTTCAGAAAGCTATAATTGGTTTGAAAATATTTGCCTAGGGCTATACTTAATTCCTTCGCGTGAAAGGATTTATTTCCAGCTAAGACAATATCTCCAAGTTAATAATCTTCAAGCACCATTTGAAACATAGATGTATGTTGTTTGCATGTTGATGAGATCACATTTACTGCTTCATTATTTCCCTCCTACAAATTATTTTGATAGATGTAAAATTCAAAATTTTTAATGACTGATCTTAGCCCACTCCATTACTTTCTCCATGTGAACATGACAGCCAATGAGAAGGTCTATTTTGGGATTAATCTAAGTATATGTATAGGATCTCCTGTGATGCAGTAGCATGGAAGCAAAATGGGACAGGGGAATAGTTCCTAGCTAATCCTATATTCTAAAGGAAGCTGGTGTAGATCAATATCTGACTTTCCCTATACTAGATTTGTCCTTTGTTGTAAATCAGGCTTGTCAAAAGATGCATGAGTTAAGAGATGATCCTTATCAAACAGTTAAAAGGAATCTGCATTAAATTAAAGGGACCCTTCATTACAGTCTTCAGTTGTATTTTCATCTATGAACCTTACAGTTTACTTGGATGCAGATTGGGGTGACTGTCCTGGTACAAGACTGTCGACTAGAGGTTGTGTGTTTTCCTCCGGTCAAATTTAGTCATTTGGAGTGTTAAGAAATAAACAACAGTCTCCCAGTCTACTGCTAAGGTTACAGAGCAGTTTAGTGGTTGTTTCAAATTTATGTTGGACACAGAAACATTAACATATTTAAACTGCCATTCAATAAAGACAATTTCTGTCTATGACCATATCAATGCTACTTACGTGGCTAATCCCAAACAACATGTTCTGTCTAAATTTATTGACCATGATCTTCACTTCGCATATGAGAATGAGGCTGTTGAGCAATATATTCCTAGTCAAGAGCAACTGGCTGACATTTTCACCAGGGGGGTTACAGCTAATATTTTTCTCAATTACTGTCAAATCTATGTGCAGTTAACCCTGCATAGGGATTAAAGGGATAATTATCTTAAGATGTTTGATCGATGTATAGCTTTATGGTCAGTTTACATATGTCTAATAGGACTTGTATTCTATCTCATGTATTGTATTATCTACAGCACACTCACTACACATCAGTACAAAAGCTGATTTATTCATATAAATGCTGCATTGTACAAATTGATAGAAAAATGAGCAGAACATGTTCATGTTTTCCTTTGAGATAGCTGAGTCAGAACAAAATGAAGACATGAAACTAGGCTTCAAAAATTAGTTTCTTGTCAGATTCTAATTATCAGACAGGAGAATGGAATTGGCTGAAATTTTCACCAGCACACTATAGGTTAAACATTTTTCTCATTTCCAACCAAATCTATGTGTATTACACCGCATCACTTGTGCAGGGGTAAAGGGATAACTATCCTACAATATTTTATTGATTTATGACTTCATGATTAGTTTACCGTATTTCTAACAGGACTTTTGTTCATGATATGTATTCTATCTCCTGTATTATACATCAATACACGGGCCAATTTATTCATATATTGTTCAGTGTTCAAACAAATCTAAAAAGTGACCCAGGACAGGTTCAACATTTTGTTTGAGACAGCTTAGGCAGAATAAATGCTGGTTCTCATAATTTCAGCATAAAACCAGGCACCACAAAATGATTTCTCACCAGATTCTAATTATCAGACAGAAGAATGAATTGGCTGACATTTTCACCAGAGAGCTTACAGCTAATTGTTTTTCTCAATAACAGTGAAATTTATGAGTAACTCAGCCTAGCTTGCAGTTGTATTAGTAGTATTCTAACTCTGGCATTATGCTATAAATAGCAATTATCCATTGACCAAAACAAGCCTATTTATTCATAACTATTTCAGGTACAACTGAATCTACGAAATAGAATAAGTTCAATCTTTTTTAGGAAGAATAAAAAGAGGGTCCCCATAATTTCAGCATGAAACCAAGCATCAATAATATGGTTTCTCATCAGATTCTAAATATCATACCGGAGAGTGGAAAAGAAGAATACTAATAAAGATTACAACTTACATCAGCAGATACACTATGCGTGCCATATTTATCATCCCAGTACATTGTACTGATCCTGTAGAGTTGTTGTATGCTGAGCACCTGAAAAAAGGCATGTTAGAGATAACAGAGGCAGTAAGGCTGGGGGGAGGGCCAAATTGAAGGAAAAAGGAGGGAAGTAGGGAGGAAGTTCAGAGTTGGTAATGAGTAGAGTAACGCACAGGGCAAAGATAATTTGTTATCTCTCTCAAGGTCTTCTTAGGCTTCTGGTGTATGACCTGATTTGCCATAAGGAAAAAATGTAAGAGAATTTTGGACTGCAATCACAGTATTTACATGAAAGCCAAATGAAAAGAACAAACCAGGAAACCAACTGCCTGCCTAATATGCTTTAACTCATCCCAGGCTGAGCCTGCAAACTGAAGATAAACACGAATACATCTTAGTCTCTAGAAGTGAAAAGAAAAATGACAACATATAAATTGGCATTAAAGAGATAAATATACTCTTAGATTTAATCTATATTTAATCTGTACTATAGTTTGCGTATGTTACCATTCTTTTATTTTTTTTGGTATTATTGGGGTTCTACATCCCAATGATTGTCAGATTAGAACTCTATATCCTAAAATTTTCTGGGTTATAAATAACATATTCATGTGATTAACAAAATCACCTTGAATGCTTTTGCCTACCTGTTCACCATATCAAAGCTACTACATAAAATATCAGAATAGTTATATACACAAATCATAATACACATTAAATATAGGAGTATATTTATCCCTTTAGGCTTTACCTCTTCAGTTGCATCATGGCACCATTGTTCCAATTCAGCAAGCCCAGCTTTTACATACTCCCCATTGCTAAATGAGCAACATTCACGCCGCAAAAGGAGGCTGCAAATAGAAATTTTGGTTTCAGGGAATATTGTTCCAAATATTATATCAGAAGCAGTTAGCTAGGAAAGCAGTAATTTGAGTAAACTCACCTATTAAACAACTGAACATTGATAAATGAAAATATCTGACTGTACATCTTACGAACTAGGAATGAAGGAACCTGTACCATTACAACATAGAGACAGTAAAGCTATTTGAAGTGCTCGCAAAATTCAGTTGTAATCATTTTATTTAGAAATATTACTCACAAAGTTGGCTCTCATTATCTTCAAGCAATTATTTAGGGATTGCACAATGCTTTGCCAATGAGCAATTAGAGCTTGCTGAGCTGTTGAATTAGCATGAGAACGTCCCTTTACTAAACCAGCACGGGAAGTCCTAGGAGCCTGCATCATGACATAAAAGGAATTAAAAGGAAGTAGGCAATCTTGTGGCCATGAAATATGGAGACATATAAGTAACAATAGATTCTCAAATCCGAATTATCCAAAGTCATATTATTACTATTTGAAACAAGAACAAGGAGTTCATGGAGAAGGAATGTCTACTAGATCCTCCTTAGAAGAGAGGAAGACCTTTAAACAAAGAGAAAGTATGGAACCAACGATCCTAATACTATGAAAAGGGAACAAAAACCTATATTGGACATCATTCAATGCCAATATGAAAATCTATGTCAAGAATATCAGCAGGAGAAGAATGAATTGCAATCACAATGAAACTGCAAAAGTGCAAGTAAAAGACGTAAGTATAGGTATTGTCTCAAGATATGCATCTTTCTGCCCATAATTGTAAGCAGTTGATAAATCTCCTCTAGATTCGGTTAACAGAAGAATACATAAATAATACACCAAATGGTACAGTGAGTTCCCAAACTTATTTCTTTCCTCCGGTCCTTAAGGGAGGAATTCCAAGTGTTCTACATAATCTCTAGTTTTTGGCATAGAAGCATCTTAGTTACCTGGATGCACAATCCAAGCAATGGAGATATCTCCTTTTTCAAATTGTCTCTTATCATTCCATATATTTTCTCAAGGAAAGCTGTGAGTTGCTGCTTGAAAAGCAAAGCTGGATATTTGGCCTCAACTTGCCTTAGGTCATCCAGTCCACCAAGCATACGCCCGCTGAGAAACGAGAACCCAGTACTCTGAGGAGAAGCTCGAAGCCCCTATATGCATAAAATAAATAAATAACTATGTTGAACAAGACAATATGCATATCAAGATGTTTTAGTGATTGGAAAGAATTACTTACCTGAGACATTCTTCCAAACAAAGAAGCTGATGTTGACCTTCGCCTTTGTGGAGTTAAGCTTGTGGTTCCACTAGCTTTAAGTGTACGTTGAAGTAACACCAGTAATGTGGATAAATTTGATAACCAGTAGGATAATGCATCATTATTATCCTGGACCTGGAATAACGAAATGTTTGCAAATATTAGTGCATGGTGTGGACAATAAAGTGTGTCTATTATTGATCTATGAGGCACTTTATTTATACAATTTTACAAGAGTAATAAAAGGAAATATACTTTAATTCTCAACACTCCCTCTCAAATCAGTGAATAAATGTTATCAATTCTCAACTTAACAATAATACTCTAAAATCTAAAATTATTTAATCTTTTAGTTAATGCATCCGCAAATTGCAAAGCGGTCGTATATGGGGTGCATACCAATCCACTATCTAGTTTCTCTTCGATGAAATATTTGTCTACTTCAATATGCTTCATCATATCATGTTGTACCGGATTATGAGCGACATTAAAACCCACTTATTATCGCAATAGAGTCTCATAGACCTACTCGAATCTTCAAGTCTTCTAAAATAATTTTCAACTATACGAATTCACATACCTCTTGAGTCATAGCCTTAAACTCTGACTCTACTCTAGATTGGGGTACCACATTCTATTTTTAACTTCTTAAAATCACAAGATTCCTCCGAAGAAGGTACAATACTTAGAGGTAAATCTTTTGTCAACTAGTGATCCTACATAATTAGTGTAGGTGTATACTTCAAGGAGTAGTCCTTGAACATAGTTCTTTTCCTAGGAGTATCCTTCAAGTAGTGAAGGATCTGGTAGCCAACTTGCAGATGTACTTTTTTGAGTTTGTGCATGAACTAACTCACTACACTAACTGCATACACAATGTCTAGCTTAGTATCTATGTTTCAAGTGTCTATGTTTCAACACTCATAGTTTTTTTTTCAATTCCTCACAATTTAAAATCTCAGATAATGTTTTAGAATTGGATATTAAATTTAAACTCGAGAAAATTCCGATGACATGTTGAGCATTTTCCGAATGAGACAAAACTTGAAATTTGATATAGCGGTTGCTTAATGCATTCTCTTGTCCGCTGTCTAAGTGCAACAGGCATATCAACATTAGAAGGAATGTGATTTCTCAACGCTTATCTCATTTCCAGTACCCAGCTCGGATCCTTCAACCTGGAAAAAGCATGAGTCTTGTATGCCTCGAGGTTTAGGCTCATTTCATTTAGTTTACAGAAATGAAAATAAGAACAGCTCCCGCATTGGGCTTATTGTTTCTAAAAGAGATAGTATGATCTCTGCTGATCCTTTTGATTCTTCAAATGAGATTCAACAAATGTTGGATCTCCTGGTTTTGATCACGTGCCAAAAGAGTAACTTAGTTTTCCTTTTCCCTTGAGAATGGTTTGAATCAATTACCAGCTCAGATAATCTTTACCATTGAAACAATAAGCCACCTGGATTGGCTAAAACTGGCCAGTTCTTTGTGTAGAATTTCCCATGTGGAAGTTTGTACCGGCAATTTGGGATGTTACCTCTTAACATATTTGTAAGAACTTTAGAGCAATTAAGGCCAAATAAGAGGTCATAGGAAGGAGATTACCGGCTGAAATTTCGAAGCTATCTGGCCGCAAAAGCTTAGCAGAGAAATTGTTGTGAGGAAGTCGCGGAAGGACAGGGGAAGTTGTAGCGGCAAGGGAAGTAGAAAGCTTGGCTGGGCACAACAGGTGCTGTGCAGGTTGGTAGCTGGCAGCTACAGGGAGCTGCAGCTGGCTTCTGGCTTGACAGGGAAGTGCCCCCAGGCTGGGGTGGTGACTACAGGGAGCAATTTGGCTATGCGGCTTGCAGGATAGGACCGGTTATGAAGGTCGGCTGGTTTCTGGCCTTGTGGCTTGGGAGCTAGGGCCAGCTATTAAGGCCATCCTGTGGTGGAGGTTACCGGTCTTGTGGTGTCCAGCAATTGGAGTTTGATGGCCAACTATGAAGATTGACCACCTTTAGGATTTTCTTATTTCAACAATGAATACCGAATAGGGTTTGGTGAAAAGGTTCAACGTTCTTTCTTAATCTAAAACTCTGATATCGTGTGGAGAATGAAGTGTCTATTATTGAGATATAAGGGACTTATTTATACAATTTTACATACGCAATAAAAGGAAATACACTTAACTATAACGAGGGTAATAACCTACTTTAATACACTTCACATTTCTCAACATGTGGGATAAAGCATTAATGTGAAAATAAATTACTTTGCTTCCGTATTGATCATTCAGGGGACAAGAATTTAGCATATGAAGTCTCCTTTCCAGACTCAGCATGACCGATTGCTTAAACAAACCCGAAACTTTTTGAAGGATTAAATTACATGTAAAAGATTAAATGTGCCATTTTAAGTAAGATAGTGGTCTCTTTATACCTCAATTGCAGCACCTATTGTTTGAACTACACGATCAAAAATATTAGTTCTTTCAACTTCAAATGATCTCCAGTGTAGAAGACATTTGTATATCAGGCACGCAGCAACGGGCTTGCCCCCAGAGAATCCTAAATCTTGTGAAACGCACTTGAGTAGCAGCTCTTGATTCTCCTGCAACATGATCAAGAGCAAAACCAGAAAATTATTTTTTGGGATGATGAAAATAAAAAATGCAGCATCAAATGGAGATTTATTATGCATCTTTTACAGTTGGACATGGTTACAAGTGCTATTTACCTGCTGCTTCTCATTAAGAGATTTCTGGGCCTTATTCTCGGTTTCTTGTTCCTGAGGAATACACAACAAGTATTCAGAAAAGTGCAACAAATGGCTGCATTCTTTTCTTTTTTATGAAAATATGATGTGCTAGAAGCAATATGTTACCCATACCAATACTTTCTTTATATCTTCATTCAGAATATTTCCATTCTCTGGGATTCTCTGCAATTTGAAAAAAAATTATACATACACATGTTATATTTTGAGGAATTTTGTTGTAATCCAATTGAATCCTGTGACCAGCACCTGAATAATTGTTGTCTTTGGTCTTGCAGTTAAAGCGCTGCGAGTTGGTGATATGGCAAGTGCTTGTTGACGGATTACCTGATTCTCGGATTCCAAATTAGAAACTTTCTCTTCTAGCCTGATTACAGAAATAAAAGGCCAGATTAGATTTCATTTAAAGTACTTAATGTGAAACACAATGACTGTGCTCTAAATGGTAACACTATAGCCATATGCCCCAGCTCCCATAACAGGCTCTGTACCGAGCAAAACATTGGGAGCAACGAGGAATTGCAAATAGAGTCACTCTATGTAAAATTAAGATAAATGGATGTGATCTATCCTTACTCTCTTCAGCCAACTACCAAAAAGAATACTTTCCAGATGAAGAGATAAGAAATAGTCCTGAGCGGGCGAAAAGGAAACTGTGCAAATTTAATTGGAAGAAGTCATGAAGCCAGCTATATCTTTAATGCAATAACACCTAAACTGATGCTGCTTTTTTGTATCTTAATAACAAACCTCTCTACAGAGTCTTGAAGTTGATCAGCTTTCTTCTCTGCTTCTTCAAGCTTCCTAGCCAATTCCCTGTTCTGGACCTGAGCATCAGCGTAAGCCTGCTTTGTCTCCTCTCCTTTTTGGATTTCTGATAGGAGAACAGCCTGTGGAGTTTAAGAAAATATTCATCACATGAAGCCCCATAACTTCAACCTGTCATGACACGCAATGATAAAGACACCAGGGACCAACTAAAGATGCAACAAGCAGTATTTAATTGGTTCTCAGATGGCGTACTTTCAAGCATGCACTACCACAAGCTGAGTCATGTCAATAAGCACGTCCATTGTATGTACATATACTATTCAAAAGTTGGATGTAAAACTAACTTTAGCAGCAACGAGCCTACTTTGAGGCAGTTGATGATGTTACAAGCATATGAAGGACCAATAAAATTGTCAAAGAATTCTTCACCACCTAATGATCTCGATAAGTAGTCGTTTACCTTCAGCCTTTCCATTTCATTTGTTAATGAATTGATCTTTTCTGTATCTTGAACAATCACAGGGATTTCTTTGATGACTGGAGGTGCTTCTTCAATTGCTTTTCTAGCCGCCTCTCGTTCTTTGAGAACCATAGCACTAGCTTCTTGGACTTGTAATTGCATCACATGCAATGCATCCTGCAACTTAACAATTTCTAGGGCTTTTGCCTCTTCAAGATCAATCTGTATTTCAGCAAAAAGTAAAATGAAATTATAAGCAAATCCACAGGCTAGTAGGAACCTTCTTATCTATATTTCCATTCACCACATCATACTGAGAAACATATAAATGCTTCAGAAAACATAGATAAGAAATGATACCCTTAATCGTTTTTCAAACTGCAATCGCCATGTAAGTTCCTCAACACGCTTTTCAAGCTTATCCTTGGCTTCTTTAAGAGCCCCAGTTTCCCTTGCAGCCTACATAAATGTATGGCATAAGTTAACACTTGAAATCAAAATGCAACTCCAAGTTGCATTGCAAACAAATACAAGGAATGTAGAGAAATAGTATTCAACCATTTTAAGCTTTCTAAGCTCTCTTCTAGCAACTCTGGATCTCCAGCCACATTGAGAGACTATTATTGCCTTCTGAAGACTCCTATAGTAAACATAAGCTTTGTGACAACGCCAGTAAGCCTGGAAACCACAAATAGATGAGAATCAAATATTTGTGGCCATATATTCATAACAAGTTAACTCAGAATTGGAGAATTACTGTTTACTTGAACACCAAAATATAATTGTGTAACTTTATCTGTACAATTAGATGCACTATTCCCCTATCATGAAAGGACCCTAAACTAAAGACTGCTAATACCTGGATAATGACGGCAGCTTTAGTTTGCTTCCTGAACATAAATTCATTTCGTGCAGTCATTGCCCTCAAGCTTGTCTGCAATATAATTGCAGATGACATTACTAGCAAATAGGATTTCCTGACAATATACTGGCGGAAATTCTTCTGGATCTTTAGGGCTGCTGTTTCACACTGCAACTGCTCATACACTTTCCGTGCCATTTCACCTATAAAATGCAAGATAAAAGGAGATTAGAAGTTTCATCCAGGTAAAACAACAAAGAATTTAGTGACTTGAAAAGGCTGAAAAGTACTCTACATTCACTGAGAAAATACAAAAGAGAACTGTTCTGGATGTTCTAGTTTATCATTTCCCCATTGGCTGACTGATATATTAACAGTGTTTATGTAAAGTCAATGCATTAAGAAGGCTTCTACTAAACGATTTTGTTAACCTAAGAAAATAGTTTTGTAAAACAAATGATATAAATGTATTTTTCACTCGACAATATAATAATGATCTCTTCATTATTATATAACCATATATTTATCATATGGAATCAGAATCCAAAATCTAACAGTGAATTAAAGCAAATAATCCTTAACAGAATACCAAAGAAAATACCTCGTAGATGAGATTGTAGCGTAATTGCAGCCTTGCGTAACGAGATAAACAACTTGCGAGCAAAGTATGTATGGATTTGCCGTTGAATTGTTCTGGCTGCATTTCCAAGCACCTCTGCCCTCCTAGCGTCCAACTCAGCCATTTGACCTGCTCTCAAGAAAACCTTTGTCTTTCCAATCTGTTAAGAACACAGTAAAATTAGAAGTTGAAAAGCTAGAGAGAAAAGGATTTGGGGGAAATATATGGTATTGCTGATATATGTAAGGACATTTAAAAATATATGAAGTGCCCATCAACTAAACTACATAAGGCCCAATCTCTGGTAAATAGGTGTTGATCTTGTAAAATCTTTTTATTTAACTGAAAAAAATATATATTTCACTTATAAGGCTTCAACACAAATACTGGATAACCCAAAAAGAAGTTGTTAAACTCATTTGTTTTCTCTTAATTGAAATTTTGGTTCAAGGTTTTATTATCATTTAGATTTTCCATCTAGTACAGCAGCTGAGTACAATTGTAATTACTCAAGTAATTAATGTCCAACAGAAGGTAAATCATTTTCCAAAACTATTTACATCTTGTAGACTCAAATATTGTTTAAGATTATATAATTGAAACTCTAATATACTATGCCTCACATATAACTTTGAAGAAAATTGGCAAATTTTGGATGCTACTTGTCCAACAAAACAGGGGAGGCATCTCATCACATTTTTTTTTAGTGTTTGTATACATGAAAGCATCGGTTACTTGGATTCATTTTGATATGAAATAAGATAACTTTGGAAAACTTTTTTTAAAAAATAAAGATGCACTTTGGAAAACTATGACAACGTTATGCATATAACAAAATATAGTCTTGAGCACAAAAGAGATAGCAGACTCATATTTGTATTGAATAAAAAAATAAGGGGTGACTCAAGGTGATCCTTTCTGGATTTACTCATTTCCATCTCAACAACTGAACAAATGGAGAACCAACTAAAGAGAGATTGCAAGCTTTCAAGTTAAAAGGTAGTCATAACCATTGATAAATATATCAAGTAAACGAATGAACAAAAGAAAGTCAATAACAGAGGAAAACCCAGTTTACCTGGTACCCTTTCAGTCCCCTATTATCAAGAATCATCTGAGTTGCAACCGTATCATCGTAGCTGAAAAGAGAGAGCAAAAGAACAAGAACTTCAATTCAAAGTACTCCAAAGCTAATTGTTCGAACTCAAATTTGTAACTCTATATCTTCAATCGCACTTATAGGATAATTTGTACTTACTTTCCTTCCAAGAGATCTGGAGCAAGTAGACCGAAACGGCTAAGAAAATCATAGAAAGTCCGTCTGGTAGGATATCCAGCACAGCTGATCCTAATTGCTTCAAGAACGCCCTAGAAGTATAGGCATTTATAAAAATTCAGTCCATTCACAAAAATCTAAACTTCCACTGGAAACCAGACATCTACCATAAGGGTGAATGCAGGACACATTAATCAAAAGTATGCTTACTCCACAACGCAGTTGCTGAATGATGTTGAAGTTCTCAAAAATGGCAGGTTTTAGAACATTATTTGGCTTCACACATCTGATGTAGTGAGGTTTTGTATCACTCAATGTCTCCATCAGAGATTGAAGTTGTAACTGAAATTTAGATAAAACAAAATGTCAAAATTATTTCTCAAAATGAGAGGTTATAAGATATAATCTTGGTGATATTCATAAATTTGCAATCAGTGTCAAGCTCGTAAAACAGGAAGAGTAACAAGGAAACAGCAATTTGTGTTAGTCATGTCTAAACAGATTGTGTCTAACATAGGATATTAGTGGCTCTATCACCAAACATAAACCTGACCGATTTATTATGTGTTAGAATTCTCAAACTCAAATCTGATCCTTTTAACTCATTTATCTACTAAGAAAATTAACTCAACCAATTCAGTATGTTTAAGATACTTATGAATTAGGTTTAATCATTGTATAGCATGCTCGATCTATTTATTTATTTGAAAAAATAGTAACTAATATGAGCTAAAATTCCCCATTTATAATTCAACAAAAAAATTACTCAGATAATATAAATATAAAATAAATAAACGGGAATATAATATTATTATTTATTTCAATATTCTTTTGCATTATCATAACAAAAGATTTGCTAACAAGTAAGACTACACAAATTACTACATATTGTACGATTTGTTTCACTTGTTTAAATTCCCCACATAATATAAATATGAAATAAATAAATAGAAATATAATATTATTATTTATTTCAATATTCTTTTGCATTATCATAACAAAAGATTTGCTAATAAGCAAGCCTACACAAATTACTTCATATTGTATGATTGGTTTCACCCATTTAAAATGTTCACATAGTTGACTCGTTAAACACTATTTCAGAAAAAAAAAAAATCTTTAAACACAATTGTTAACGTAACGAATTAAACCCTTTTATGACCTAAACTTGTTTATACCAAACCAACTTAATATTTCAAGTCAAATTTTATCAACCCTGCATAAAAGTATGACACACATTAATTGGACTCTATCAAATCAAGCAATGATGCAACAAGAAGTAACAAAAACAGGGGACAATTCTACTTGAACTCAACTTTTAACATGTACTTCCCATTTTCTTGTAAATTACAAATGTTGTACAAAGCTAAATACAGGAAACTTGCAAAACAAAATTTTTTGTTTTATCAGTTTCTAAGTACACTAAAATAACATGAAAAGGGGTACAATCAAAAAGTAGGAGAAAATAAGAAGAAAATTATGCCTAAAGCTAAAAAATTGAAAAAAATTAAAATAGACCATGCAAAGTTTACTCTAGAACGAGCTGTCACCCAGAAAACAATGTCCTAAGGACCAGCAGAACTTAATCTAAGATCTGATCCAGAATAGGATCAAACATATGGTTCTTTGAGATCACAAGAGTACAAAAGAAGTGAAAGATCGCAGATCATTGCTAAACAAAAGAAGAAGAGGAACATAGTTTGCTTTTGGAAGGTAAAAATTGATCTACTTCTAAGCGTAAAAGCATGTGCAGGATCATAATTATACCTTTCCATTGGGCAGTTAAAGAACAGAGGTTAGATCTCCATTTTTCACAAAAATAAAACACAACTTCAAGATCCACAGACCATAATATCACAAATGCTACCAACACAAACAAGAAACAAAGTGTATCCAAATTACCTTAAATCGCGACCCAATAGAAGAAAATTTAGACGACTTCGATGATTCTTCAGGAAGTGGGGGAAAGAGACTTGACACAAAGGAGCATTTTGAGGCAGTCAAGAGAGCCTGATGTTCGGCGACAACATAGTCTTTATTTTTGTCAGAAACTGATTGGCTTGATAAGTTACCTAAAGGATGGGGAACCGTCGATAAATCTAGTGTAAAACATCAGCAAGCTGACAGGAAAACTAATCTAACAAACAGAACCACGTTTACCTCTCCTGCATAGTGTGCTATAGAAAAATCAGTACGAGA